AGACGTATGTGCGATGCCAAATGCTGCGACATATGCGGGATCTAAAAACAGAGCAATTAAGAGCGTGGTACTTGCACGGATAAAAACATTAAGTTCAGACGACTATAATAACTAGTCTAAGTAGTCAAAATATAACTAATAAAATAAATTCGGGTAATAAAATAAGTCCTGGATGCAACCAAAATTGGAAAAAGAGTCCTGAATTGGAATTTTTCTGTTATGTCGCATACATTCCAAATCAGTACAATTGGACTTCATCGGTCCGGCGGTTATATTTTTAGTTTCTAGAGAAGAAAATCATGCAATCATTTGCATTCGAAAACTTCGCCAGGAATGTTTGCACACAGCACGGGAAAAATGCGAATAACGGGCTGCAGGAGTAGTATCAAATTATGAAGCCTAATCTTACGGTTTCTCTGTGATATAAGACTTAGGAAGATACATGTCTTCTCCTTTAGAGGGTTGTTTTGCTGTACTAAAAGCTCAAACCAATCTCTACATTTTACTTAGCCATAGGTTAAATGAAGTGAAAATCACCAGGGAGTTGTTTAAATTTTGATAACAATATTGCGAGCATAACCTTGATCCGATTTATCAATGCAGCTCATACGACCCTGCTCGATCCACTTCCTCATCACACATTCTCCAAAGCCTTTGCAGGGCACTGCTCCAGCAACTCCACACAATTTTTCTTCTGCAAAGGATAATTTAAGGATTCCTGAAAACTTGTACCCTAGGCGGTTCTGTGACAACGGCCTTGCAGGGAAATAAAAGGGACACCGAGTGGGCACCAGGCAAGTTTAGAAGGGGCTTGATTCGGTAGTATTTTAACTTTTTTTGAGTATTAATTTGTTTTTGGTGGCACAATTTGTCACAAGCTTACCAAAAATAGTTGCTAGCCATGTGGGAGAACAAAGAAGACAAAGCAAGCCCCATTTTTCCAGAAAATATGTGATTTCAGCTGTACGAACTTCTCTATCGGTGTTTACAGCTAAGGGATGAAACACACACTACACCAGAATCAATCACAGATTCATCGCTACTACTCGGAAATTTACATCTATTTAATAGCTGTTTTTTAGTTTTGCTAATAATAATTTATCATTAGGCCTGAAAGTATTTTAGTGAGTAAAGTGTCTCATCGATGACAACACCTCGACGAGATGATGAAGCTGAATTCACAGTAATTACATTTCGGACGGCTAAAGTCTTCACAAGTGCTTCTGCCAGGAGAACTGTTAAACCGGTAACCCTTATAAGAGATAAGGCAGGTGACAGTGATAGCACGAAAAAATATTTGGTCCCTTTTAACGACGAAAATGATTACTCATGAGGCTTCGACGACTCGAGGTCTTAAGATTTTCTTGTCTTTTTTAACACATAAAATTAGGAAATTAAATAATTTTTAGCTGCTTACTGCTGGCATCACAGAATGTGGGTGACGTCGGCGAATTATCACATTCTGAAAAAATTTATGTGAACTGAGAAGTGAACGTTTAAACAACCATGTAAAGAAAGAAAATAAAAAGTCTAAAACTGGATAAACAAAATGAGCTGGCTTACTAGGATTAATAAAACACTGAGCTGCATATTGTGGCGTTACACAGTACGAACCACATTTTACGTAGCCAGGAAAGCAAACTGAAAAGCAAAATAGTAGAAGATTAAAGAAAGGCCTCTGCTTTCACAAATTCTAATCTTTTAGAACAATAAAAAATTTTAAAAGAAGGGGTTAGCACCCAACGTTTTCAACAGTTGAAGCTGCACCGATTAAAAGGTAACCCTGTTGATTTGAGCACTTATTGAATTTGACAGATTTCATCGTCAGTTTGCTGACGGGTGTGACGCAGCACTGTTCTCGTGCAATAGGTCGAAGGTTCGGCTCCGCAACTGAGACAGTTATTCTCTTTATGAATTCATTCATCCGTTTTGATAGTAAACTGATACTTATGTGCAGCCAGGAAACCGAACAAAACGCCATCAGCTTCCTTTCAAGCAACCTCTAGCCAATTTTTGATGCATTCGCTTCTCAAGGAAAGCGAAAACGAAATCAACAAAGGGCCCAAACTCCTGTGCGCCTGTATGTAAGTTTGTGTGTGTATAATACCAAAAATGACCGTTCAAATGACAGCTGACGAAGTGATATGCGTATAATGTAGACTGTATGGATTAGTGCTCGAGAACACATGCATCTATCTAAATCACAACAATTCAGTGCGCGTGGCTGTATATGACTACCATGAGTAAAATTTCTTGAGTAAAATTTTGTATGAGTAAAACCTCTTTTACTGGTGCTTACTGGATAAGTTGTTAGCCGTGAATAAGCAGAGCTGTATGGGATTGTTTTGCGAAATTACAATTTTTTGCGGGTAATCCGTAGTTTATTTTGTGTGACACTTCCCATGAATTGCGGGATTGTTAGCTTTGTGTAATGAGCAGTAAAATTCCACCAACATTCATCACTTCCATCCGGGCAGTCCACGATCCCGTCATGGAAATGGTGCAGCGGTATGCAGCGCTGAAACTGTTGAAGCTGACTGTGGCCAGCACAGTCAAAT